ACCGGAGAGAAATCTTATTTCTCTGAGCTAATAACATAAAGCCACAAACCAAGGAAACAGGCAGAATTGCCCAATTAAAAGATAGAGGCAGAAGAAGTCTTACATCTCAATTTCCTACTTTGTCTCTTAATGTTTTATTTGTTATTCTAGAAATTATTTTCATTTTTGTTCTTTTAAATAGTCTTTGTTGTTACGATGGAGAATCAACTTGAGTTTCAGCAGTGTATGAAATTACTGGTATTTCTTTATTGTTTCAGAGAAAATTCAAAAAAACTTTCTTTGAGTTAAATATCAGCAAATGTTACTTTTTTTTCTTTTTTTACTATACCTTAGGCCCTACATTAATCGTATTTTTTTAATGTTCACAGCCTCACTTGTCTTAATATGATGCATTTGATTTTCTTCATCTTCATCCCTTATGCAAATTTCTACAATGTCTTTCTACGTATGTACTCCTGTTTCTTCCAATGGGGTTGGTTATTAACACTTCCAAAGTGTTAATAACAACAATGACATCACAGAAGAAATACAAACTAGAATTGGAAAGGCTCGAGCTGCTTTTGTTAATATGAAGGACATTCTGGGAAGTCATGACATTAACTTAAACCTGAAAATGAGATTGGTTAGATGCTACATCTTTGCGATACTGCTGTACGGAGTAGAGACTTGGACTTTAAACAAGAGCAATATAGATAAACTGGAGGTCTTTGAAATGTGGATATATAGAAGAATTTTGAAAATACCTTGGACAGACAAAATAACAAATAGTGTAGTTCTTCGAAGAATTAACAAAGAACGGGAGCTGTTGATCATCATCAAGAGAAGAAAGCTGGAATATTTGGTCATGTAATGAGAAGAAAAAAGTACCGATTGCTCCAGTTAATTATCCAAGGAAAGATTCAGGGCGATGGCGAACGAAGCGTGGGCAAACGACGTATATCTTGGATGCGCAATTCAGACTGGTTCCAGTGCACAGCTAACCAATTATTTAAAGCAACAGCTTCAAAGATAAGAAGAGCAATGATGATTGCCAAACTCCGTAGCTGAGAGGGCACTTGAAGAAGAAGAACAAAAATTGAGTTACTACAGTTTTCGTTGCATAAGTCGATATATAATTTGTAATTGAAAATGGAGTATTATCAAGTATGTTTGAATCACTCGTTTTATAACTCATTACTTATTCAATTAAATTTATCCTACAACTCCGCATCTAGATCTGACACTGACAGTTTTGACATAAATTGTATCTAGTTATTTGTTTAAGTATAATTATGAAAGATTTTAATCTGTCACTTGTTACAGAATGAAAATTAATAAGTAAAATTTGTCGTCAGTACTACACTAGTCACCAATGTTTTAGACAACCAAAAAAACCAATCAACTAAACATCAGTTTGTCGTCAACTTTGTAAAGTGAAGAAGAAAATGTTAATGTGTGAAATTTACTTATTTATTATTTATATTTTACTGTTATCTACGGATAATTTGTCGTATAATTAAAATGATAAATTATTTAACACATTTACGATACGCTGCAGACGTGAGTGAATCAAATCCTTTAAACGTCCATTTCTTACCACGGCGAAAAATAATCTTCGAAGCACCTGTCATATTTAATAAATGATTTATTGTTTAGAATTTATTTCTTCTATTCACAGGTGGTCGCCTGAAAAAGATACACACAACAACTGGGAAATGTAAAAAAGTTTATTAAGTTGTTAGGCCGTTCGGAAAGAAGAAGGTTCGGTCGGTAATGTTTACCAGAGGAAAATGAGTGAATTGTGGATTTAATGGATTTAAAATTGGCATGGGAAGTGTCACTTGAAAAACTGTAAAATAATCATCGGTTTTTGTTTGGTATTAGGTAGTAATGTTTAACTTCCTTGAGAAATAACTGTAGAATGTTCAGTTATGCCGATATTAAAAATTGTTATGCAGAGAGTAGCAAATTGTGTAAACAAAGATTGAATGTCTGGTAATGGAATTTTCTTCTGCTAATGTCTTAGTTAATTCAAGTGTTTTTTAAATGGCAAGTTTAAGTTTCGGAAATATCAGACAGCGAATACATGAGGAATTCTACAAAATTCGCACCTTAACTGGACCTATTTTCGGGTAAAATCGCGAAAAAATGAAAAAAAAACGTCGATTTTAGTGACTAAGTAACTGTTTGCCACGCTTTAAGCAGGTGTTTCTTGATTCTTCAAAGGGTCAGAATTCATTTTGGGATCAAGACGAAGCGATTGGTACCTAATATGTATGTGTGCTTCAACTATAGAGGTATCTTTTAATCTATTTTCGGATAAAATCACGAAAAAATCAAAAAACCGTCGAATTGAGGGACTGAATAACCGTTTGCCACCTTTGAGCTGTTTTTTGGTTCTTCAAAGGGTCAAAGTTCAATCTGAGGACCAAGACGAAGCGATTAATACCTAACATGTATGTGTGCTCCAACTATAGAGGTATCTTTTAATCTATTTTCTGGTAAAATCGCGAAAAAATTTAAAAAAAAAACGTCGATTTTAGTGACTGAATAACCGCTTGCCACGCTTTGAGCAGGTGTTTCTTGGCTCTTCAAAGGGTCAGAGCTCCTTCTGGAGACCAGGACGAAGCGATTGGTACCTGATATGTATGTGTGCTTCAAGTATAGAAGACTCTTTCACTCGTTTTTCGAGGCAGATCGCTAGGAGAATGAAATAGCTTTAGCGAACAAATCAGTTTTTTGTTGGAAAAAACTTAAATTTGCCTTTTTCTTGAGGCTCGCACCTGAAAACATGTTTTTTGGTATCAACCTATAGAAAAAAATTGTTACTGCGGGGTACGGACAGCAAATTGCAATATCACCATATTTGGCTCCAGTTAAGGTGCGAATTTTTGTAGAATTCCTCATACTACCTATATATACAATATATTTATACAGGGTGGTGAATCGTCAAGCGGGCCATAGAAATTTCAATGGTAAATTCTAAACTGTTGAATTCCTGCTTCCCTAATAATTATTTTACACCAAAAGTCAAGAAAAACTATTTGTAGAGGACTGAAATATATATCAAAAACAAATGCTAAAATTGTTCTACGAATTCAGTGTATTCCAAATTTTTGCAAAAATATAATACATTTTTCAGGCCATCCCTTAAAGTTAGGCCACAAGACCTACAAGAATGTGTATGACATGTTACGTTTGGTCATATTGATGATTCTGATATTTGACAATATTTGAATTCGCAAAATTTTAATTTTGTGATTTATTGTTTAAAATGGGATATAAAATCAAAATAAAAAAATGCGAATTATTGAAGAGTGTGCAAAAATAACGCCACGCATTCTGGCTAATGTTAGACGAGATTTTTAATTTTTCGGAAGAAATCGTACATCGGAAATGAAAAATTAAAATACAACCAAAATGATTACAGAAAACACAAAAAGAATGTTGTAGGTTTTTAAAAAATAAAACATTCCCAAGGAAGATCTTTGGACTCATTACCAAAAATGGTATATGAAAATCTAGATATAATCTACATCCATATACTGTTACCAGCTTTCACATCCATATAACAGAGTAGGAGTGGCCATTGCTGTTTGAAGTTTTAGCATTCCATGGTTGTTCTTGTCTTGTTCTTCGATGTCCGGTAAATTATTTCGCCTTAGTGAAGGTTGTCAATTTTTGTTTCTTCTTCTTCTTTTTTCTCTTGCCAATGTTTCTTTTCCCAAACATTCTTCTTTGTTTACAGAATCAAAATATATCGGTATACCATTTTTATAATTAAAAAATAAAAAAAAATATATGTTAGATAGACAAAAAGCTACTAAAATAAAAATTGTTTGTTTTTGAGTAATTTTTATTCGAATCTACTGACTTGTGGACAATATAGTTACCTTCTTAGTTCTTCGTTTTTCATTGAATTATTATCTGACGATCATATTTCCATTCATTTGTATCTGCTTGGCTGATATATCCACAATCTGTGATCGTAATTTTTCAAGATTTTTCTTTATAAAAGTCGCCGAATTTATTTGATTTCCTAAGTTACTTAATAATTAAGATGTCTGTGGTGTGAACTTAATGTAGACGAAGTGACTTTCAATTCAGGTCACTCACCAAAACTGAATTTTTCAGCAGTATTTACGAGTAACCTATTTTTTCACAGCTATATGGAATCTAGATACTGGTACTGTTCTTAAAATCAAATGTTTCTATTATGAATTCAAAACAAAATCTGTACCGTATATCGACAAGTTCTCCATAAATTTCTTTCTCACTGTCTTATCTACGAAGGTGGACCAACAGCTTTTGGAGACTTTCACATAAGTCTAAAGCATATGGTATCTACCTATCTACTAGACATGTACAAGATAGTACAGTTTTCCAGAATTCTGGTGTATGAATAATGAATGAGAGAATTTTTTGCAGTGTGTGATAATTTTGACAATAATTAATGATCTGCTGTTGTTTCATTATCCATTTAATAGATTCTCTTTGATATAGGTGTGTTTTAGTATTTGTGTTGTTCATTCAATTGCATTTTGTAACATGACGGTGATCTTCTTTAAGTGTTTTATGAAACTGTGCAGTATAAAACTTGTAAAAATGTGTCAGTATTTACCACTAAGAAAACTGTTTTTCTATTCCCAGAATGTTTACCATTGAAAATCACTATTTTCAATGCTACCAAAGTTCGATAAAGCCAATATTGCTTAATTTTTCTTTACAGTAATTGAAGATATATCCAAGATACTGCAACATTATGTATGAAAATGGCAAGTTTTTACATCCAAATCTTCAATCATCGACAAGAAAACATATTCGTCTTTTAACTACTTTATTTGTTTTTTTTTCATTTGTTTTATGTTTGTCTTGTCACTGTTATCTTTATTGTAGTTTTGGCTCATTTATCTAATTTTTTATCTTCCAAGTCTATGCATTTATGAAGAATTGGTATAATTTAAATGTAGTAGCTTTTTGTTTAACAGATAGCACGGTTTTTGTAGTGTCAGAAAATCAAGATGTCGAACAACGCCCTCAAACGCGAAAATACAAGTGCGTCAGCAAATGTCTTAATGTGCCGACAATGGTGGAAAGTGTGCTGGATGTACGGTGATCAAGAAAAGTATTATAGACAACTCTACGGTAAAAAAAGCGAACAAGGTGATAAGAGTTCGAAAAAGGGTTTACATTTTCAAAATTTTTACGAAAACGCGTTAGCGGACCAGAAAAACGACGATGACTGTACGTTGCCAGTGAATGGTAGTTTTAGTATAGAAGAAACAAGAACGCCTTCGCCAAATAGAGATGGAGATAATTCTCCAGGATTTGCCAGTTTGAACATAGCTACAGATATAGATGAGTAAGTGTTACTTATATTTTTTTTAATAATATTAGGTAGGTGGAAGTATTGTATAGTTTAAAATTGTTAGTCAAGGAACCTAATAAAAGTAAACCTATATTTAATTTTGTCAATATGTGTGATCAACTGTGTTTATCAAAATGATCTTTAAAATTAATTCAAATATTATGAATGAAGTTAAAAAAACTAACAAATTATTTTCTTTTTGGTAATTATCGCAAAAAATCCAAATGAATATTTAATATAGGTTTTGATGATGTCAATAAAAAAAAAGTTTCATATCTTGTGTTTTATATTGTTACTATCGTGGTGGAGGTTTATGTAAAATTCCACCGCGGTGCCTATCTGGGCTAGAGATATACGCTAGAGACTAAGTAGAAAACGCAATCAAGAGGTGTCTTAACACTCCAATCTGATCAAAAAAATCAATCTCCATCCTAAATTCTTCTTGTTCTTCTTCTACTTCTAGGAAATCTTTCGATCTGTTAAATTCTGAAGCTGCCTTTGGTTAATTTCCTGGAAGGTATATTGCCAACTAACCCTCCATCTTTTAGTTGGTCTTCTGGGAGGTCTTGAATGCATGCTTAAGATCCTGTGGACTGACCTAGTCACAAAAGAGTGAATAAGAACCGAGAGGTACTAATCACTCAAATTTCGAAAGTTATAGTTCTTCGGACATATTATGCGAAATGAATCCAGATATGCTCTCATTCAAGCCATCGTGCAAGGAAATATATTTGGAAAACAAGGTCCAGATCTTGGATATCAAAACAGATCTTGGCTAAAAAACCTTCGAATCTGGTTCAATACAACATCTGAGCAGCTTTTCCGCACTGCTGAAGATCAGATAACAATTGCCATGATGACCGACAACATTCGTAACGGATAAGAACATCAAGAAATATCCGTTGATGTGGAAAGAAGTTTCTCAATTTATAAATATATGTACACAGATAGAAGCCATAAGTTTTTATTGACAAATTTTGAAAAACATTTGAGGAGGTAATTTTCATAAATCCACATATCCATATTGACTATGTTTTCCAGAAAGTAAAACAACCGATCCCCGATCCATCTATATTATTCATTATCACATATTCATTAAAAAACGAAAAAACGCAATGTATATATACCAATAAGCAAACGGATTATCGAATTATATTAATATTTTGCTCAATATTTTAATATCATGCCCAAAAAGTGATATAAAAATAATTTATGGAGACTTAAACGCAAAAGTTGGAAGAGAGCAGCAATTCCAACCCACAATAGGCAAGCACAGTCTCCATGAGCAATCAAATGACAATGGCAATAGGTTGGTTAACCTAGCAAGATCACTTAACATGGTGATTGCCAGCACATACTTCGCTCGAAAAGATATACACAAAGGCACCTGGAAATCACCAGACGGACTTATAGTGAATATGATAGATCATGTTATTGTAGACTCAAGACACCAATCGAATATAATAAACGTCCGTACCAGAAGAGGGGCAAATGCGGATTCTGATCACTACCTGGTCGAAAGTAGGATAAGGGCTAGAATTTCAAACATCAAAAAGGAAAGAGGCTCTAAACATGAACGATACAATATAGAAGGACTCAAAGAAACAAACAAAAATAGTGAGTACAAAGAAAATATAAGCATCAAACTAGAAAACAGACAAACTGAAAACCTAAATGAGGAGTAAGAAGAGTGCAGAGAAATCATAAAAGAAACAGCTAAAGAGGTGTTGGGCATGTAAGGTAAAGAAAGAAGAACAAGAACGAATCACTGGTTTGACGAAGAATGTCAAACTATAACAGAAAGAAAAAACAGAGCATATCTACAGATGCAACAGAGGCACAGAACCCGACAAGCAGAGGAAGAATATAAACAACTACGTAAAGAAGAAAAGAAAATTCACCGAAGAAAGAAGAGAGAATATATCAACAAAGAACTTCAAGAACTACAAGAACTAAGTAAACCAACAGAGACAAGAAAATTTTACCAGAAACTCAACAAAAGCAGAAAAGAGTTCAAACCGAGAACAACGATGTGTAAAGATAAGGAGGGTAATATATTGACAGAACAGCAAGAGATACTTAGAAGATGGACAGAACATTTTAAGGAAAAGCTTGGGGTGAATAGGACGGAGATGAACCCTGATATACCGTTAGACCAAGCAGACAACAGAGAAAAGAGTCCACCAACAATAGCAGAGATTAGAACAGCAGTGGACAAATTAAAGAACAATAAATCACCGGGATCGGATCAAATATCATCGGAGCTACTGAAAGAAGGAGGAGACGCATTACTTAAAGCCATACATGAGCTGATAAGAAAGATATGGTTGAATAAACAGCTACCAAAGGAGTGGAATAGCGGCATTATTGTACCACTACATAAAAAAGGAAACCAGTTAGAATGTGAAAACTACCGTGGAATCACGCTGTTGAATGCGGCATACAAAATAATGTCCAACGTAATGTATGAAAGACTTAGACCATACGCTGAAAAAATAGTTGGCAAATACCAATGTGGCTTCTGTAGACAGAAGTCAACAATAGACCAGATATTTGTTCTGCGACAGATCCTTGAAAAAACAAGTGAATATAACATCGACACACATCATCTCTTCATAGACTTCGAAAGCGCATATGACAATATAAACCGAGAATTCCTAACAAAAGCAATGAAAGAATTTAATATACCAACACAGCTAATAGAATTGATAAAAGAAACACTAAAAGTAGAAAGTAAAATCCGGATACAAAACGAATTAACGGAAACAATAGATGTGAAGAAGGGACTACGCCAGGGAGACGCTCTATCATGCATATTATTCAACATCATACTTGAAAAAATAATAAGAGACACAACAGTTAATACCCGGGAACAATAATTAATAAAAGCGTGCAAGTACTAGCATTTGCAGATGATGTTGACATAATCGCAAGATCAAGAAGAGAAATGATAGAGGCATTCACTCAAATAGAACGAGCTGCAAAAAATAGTGGTCTTAAAATCAATCAGACAAAAACAAAATATATGCCTGCAAATAAAAACGCACAAATAAGGCAGCTGCCAAATTTAACAATAGGAGAATACAACATTGAGGCGGTAAAAAACTTTACATACTTAGGATCCCTAGTTACGTCTGATAACAACGTTGCAGAGGAAGTGAAGAGGAGAATATTTATTGCCAATAAATGTTACCATGGCTTAATTAGGCAACTAAGATCAGATAACGTCTCCAGAAAAACAAAATGCCAAATATACAAAACCTTAATAAGACCGGTACTCACATACGGTTCAGAAACCTGGACACTCTCTAAAAGGGAGGAAACGTTATTAGCCACCTTTGAAAGAAAAATCTTGCGACACATATATAAGGGCACAAAAGAAAACGGGATTTGGCGGAGAAGGTATAACTTTGAACTATACAACATATACCAGGATCCGGATATCATAACATTCATTAAAATAGGAAGGCTACGTTGGATTGGACATGTGGAAAGAATGGAAGAAGGCGAAATACCAAACAAAATATTCAAACAAGTGCCAGTAGGAAAAAGAACAAGAGGAAGACCGAAGCTGAGATACGTAGAACAAATAGAAAATGATATAACAACATGAAAAATTAAAAACTGGAAAAAAAAGCACGAAACAGGTCAGAATGGAGAAGAATCCTTGAACAGGCCAAGACCCAAAAAGGGTTGTCGAGCCAGTGATGATGATGATGATTAATATTTTCAATCAAAATATTTGTTTTCTTCCCTTACTCCTTCTCTTCTTTATTTTGCGATAAATTATAATACCAAAAAGCCAAAAATAGAATCAATTGAACTCAAGTCAAGAAAAGCATCAGAAGTGTCAATGTGGTTGAAAAGTAGTATTGAAAGCCCATCCCGAGGTAGCAACGGAGATTACAAGGTTCTCTTTGAAATAAATTGGGAGTATTGAATGTTTATACACGAAATGGAGTATACTTATTTTTATAAAACTATATGTGCCACTACTTATCTTCATTATTTCCTATCACGGCAAATAAAGTCTCGCGAGAGTCGGCCTTACATCTGTAGCGTAATATTTCCATTTTCACAGCATTTTTCTCGCAAATCAGTTCTTCATATCCATATAAAAGCATATTTAAAAATTATTTTTAATGATTTTCTTCAAGGTTCTTTTTGGAAAAGCAGTTTTTGTTTTATAGAGCATCTTTATCTAGAAATAAGATTTCAAATACAGTAAACAATAATAATACATTTTTGGAATATGTCCCCTTCAATCTGCTAAAACGTTATGATTTCTAATACATTATTCTTCCTACTATGAAAATCTATCCACGAGAAACTTCTTGCCTTATTTCAATGGCTGTCACACTTGATTGATATATGACTTCATTTTCCCATTTGTCCGCCTTTTCCGTGTTTTGTAGCTTGAAGTGTGTCGTCCGACTGAATGTCTTATTTCGAAATGATATCGTTTAGATGGCATCGTTTATCTTCCAAATATGATGAGCTGATCCAAGCGATGTCTGAATAAAAGATTTTAGTGAAACTCCTGAAACTAAATGTTAGGGATATGTTTAGAACTTTCGTTAGATTTATGTGTCAGCCTGGGATATTTTTCACTATATTGTTGGCTTCAACAAGAGGATGAATTCAGACGAAAATGTTTTCTAACGCTAGCACAAAAAACTGTGCCTCGATTAATTAATTATAATCTCATTATAGTCATTTAGTAAAATGTGATTTTCGATCTACTGGTTGGTAAATCATGAAACGGGCTATAGGAAGCAATGGAAAATTCTAAATTGTTGAATTACTGCTTCCCCAATTATTTAACATCAAAAGTCATAAGAATCTATTTGTAGAGGACTGAAATTTGCATTAAAGGCAAATATTAAAATTGTTCTACGAATTACGTATTCCAAAATGTTGCAAAATGTTTTTATGCTACCTATAACTATTCACTCCAATCCAATTCCAGGTTAAACAACAATTCAAAGAAGTTCAATA